AAGGGAACCATTGGTGATGACCTCCAACTTACTGTAGACAGATTATTTGATGCCTTTTGCCCTCATGATTCTAACGATGAGGATACTCCTGAACAGGCCCATATTAGAACCCTCACTCATTATGAGAACCTCTCAGGGAATGACCCGCTCTTTTCCTTTATGAAGTTCAAGACAGTATTGCCAGCATGCCAAGGAAGAAGACTACTGGGTCAGATCAAATAAATGCAGACCTCATTCAGGCGATCTGGAGACTTCGGCCAGACCTTCTTATGACAATTTGCAACACCTGTTTGCAGAATAGCATTTTCCCAAAACCTTGGAAATGTGCTCAGCTTGTTATCATTCCAAAAAAGCACAGTGTACCACTCACAATCAACAATATGCGCAATATCTCTCTCTTATCAATGTTAGGTAAAGTCTTAGACAAGCTGTTATTCAATAGACTTTACTGGTTCTGGGAGTCGCGGAGGCTTTTTCATGATTCCCAGTATGGTTTTAGGCAGCAAAGAGGAACTATAGATGCCCTCATAGATCTCAAGGCACACATCAGAAACTACTCACTGAAAATGTCTATGTGTTTGGGCTTAGCCTGAATTTGAAAAATGCTTTCAATTCAGCATGGTGGCCACTGATTTTGCAGAGGCTAAGTGAGATTGAATGCCCTAAAAACCTCTTCAGTCTGGTTAAAGACTACCTTAGGGACAGAAAGGATCTCATTAGAATTGGGCAGCAGTTTTTCTTGAACAAACTATAGCAGGAGTGTCCACAGGGTTCCGTCTGTGGCGTGTTGTTCTGGATTATTATTTTTGACAACTTTCTTTGCCTTGACTTTGGCCATCAGTGCCAAATTTTTGCATATGCTGATGATGCCTTTCTCATCTTTCCTGCTAATTCTAGACGAATGATTGAAAATGTTGCCAGTGATATTTTGATGAGAGTTAATGAATGGGGCATCAACAATAAACTAATATTCAATGCAACTAAGACGAATGGTATTGTATTTTCTATCTCTAGATCGGCAAGTCTCTACAAGCATGTACCATGTGTTTGCTTTGGGAACACTGCCATCAAAATAGAACAGCAAATTACATTTCTTGACGTGATCTTCGATCATAGACTTACTTGGAAGAGTCACAATGCCCACATCACAAACAGGACTAACATCATTTTTAATAACCTTTTATGTGTTGCCAGGAACAGCTGAGGACTTGTGCATGAGGCTATAAATGCCATATATGATTGTGTGTTTGTGCCTATTATGAGTTATGTGCATCTGCTGTGTGGGGTGAGGTGGCACTCCACTCTCACAATCACCGTAAACTCAGAACAGCTCAACACTTTGCGCATGACCAGATTCTATATTACAGTTTCAAATGCTGTGTTTCCCGTTTTAGCAGGAAAACTTCCTATCCTTCAGCAGATTCAATATAGCACTGGCAGACTTTTCCTCACACAAGGTAAATGTATTACTATCACAGATTACTCGCTCGATGATTCTTGTTATGAGGTTAGTAGATACTTTGCTGAATTGCCACACACTGCTTTCAGAAGAGGGCTTGGATCTTGTGATTGCACATCTGTTATAGAGGTCTACACAGACGGGTCAAAGACCAAACAAGGCATCGCCAGCACTTTTGCAGTATATATCAGCAATAAAGAAACACACCATGACGTCTTTCTCTTGCACCTGGAATGCTCAGTGTTCCAGGCGGAGATGTTTGCCGTTTTCAAAGCAATTGACTTTTGTAACACAAACTTTTACAGCTGTGACATTTCTGTCTTCACTGACAGCTATGCTACTGTTCAGGTGTTGACAAACAAAGACAGCCTTCACCCTATCACAAGGGATATCTTCAAGGGTTAGCTGATCAGTCCAGCAACAAGTACATCATCAACTGGATCAGGGGACACTGTGGCACTCTGGGTAATGAACGTGCTGACGCATTGGCTCGTGCAGCAAGTTTGCTAACAGGCATCAATTTATTGTATGTCCAGTTTCCAACTTCCAGAATTAAACAACTTTTATGGCATCATTGCATCACAGAGTGGCAAAGGAAATGGGATTGTTTACCACAACAACATATCTCCTGTCTATTTATTCCAGACATTGCAAGATACCTTACATGGAAATGGTTTCATCCACAACACCAGATCTCACAGATGATAACTAAACATGGACGATTTATGTATACTTGAACCGTTTTCATCACAGTGACATGAATTGCTGCCCAATATGCAATGCGCAGGATGGGGTGAGACATTATCTTCTGTCTTCCCCAATGTTGGAAGATATCAGGTGCATGCTTAAACTGCAAATGGAAGAGGACAACCATAACTGACCATGTGAATTTGAATTACTAATATCCAGCAAAAGTTACTTTGATCTTTTTAACATCTTGACCAAACTTTACATCAATAGGACTCTAATACACTAATACTATGTTTGCACACAATCCACGACTCACTTCGATCTTGATTTACCTACAATCTGGATTGTGACTGTCGCTAGTCAAACGTCGTGCTGTTCACACAGGCAGTCTGCTTGAGAAGAACCTGGCTATTACACGTAATCATAAAACTGACGTAACTACGCGGTAAGTCACAAACACCAACAAACAAAATGGAAGTTTTGGTTAGAAATAAATACTTTTTCTTGCCATACATCTAATAATAGACAGATGTCATCGTCTCTCCAGATGTCTTTTTTATTTCTCTGTCAATAGCCCGACATGTGTTCCGCAGCCATCTTGTATTTTCTTGCACGCGTGGGATTGTGGGATCTCTCTTATGACTGGATCAAGTTTCGAGAACTCTCTCCAGTCAATCGCGATTGAACCTCATTTCAGTCGAGATTGAAACGGTTGAGAGCGTTCACACCACAGAACAGTCTCCAACCTTAGTCACAATCTAGATCGAAATGCTCGGTGCAAACGGGGTATAAGTATGGTACATCCTATTTTTATCTTTTTTGTACATAAGCGATATTTTGCTTTGTTTTTATTTAATAGTTTTTTAATGTTGTTTTTTTACATTTGGCATGTGCCAACTGTGTAAACCATGTACATTCTTCCAACTGTGCCCAGCGGTGTTGGGTGAATAAAGAATAGTTTGTCTGTCTGTGTAAGCATTACCCTGTCTGTCTAGCCAAACAATTCATTGCATTCTTTTCCTTTTTGCTCCATCATGGGACCAAAGAAAGTTTCCAGAGCCAGCAGCCCTTCAAAGAAGAAGGCCAGGAACACAATTGAGTTGAAGAAAATCATTAAAAAATATGAATGGCACTAAGATTACTGAAATAGGCTGCATGTATGGGAAGTTGCCATCCAATAAGTTCTGGTCCACCAGTGCCAAGTGGTTCCATTCCCTGAACACTGAGGTCATGGGTTCATGCCTCGCCTGGACGGGCTGGCCATATGGTGTTTTCTGGGTTTCCTCCATGTCTGTAACGACTAAATAGGGGCCAGTTTCCCTTAAAAATACATCCCGGAAGGCAGATCATCCAAGTGTTGCTTTGCCATAACTTAACAAACAAACAAACAAAAATGTAATGAGGGCCTATTAAAATATAAAAAATACATGTCTATGACTTTGTTTTCAATATAAAGTGGATTCAAAATGGCAATATCAGTGCTTCCTGAAATGACTGAGCACACCTAACACTTTTAGCCTAGGGGTCAAAATTAAAAACAGCATAGCAGGTGTCTAATGGAAAATAGGCATAAAAATGAATAAAATACAAGAACAAAACAATCAATGGTGATTGGTTTGTTCTTGGATCACCTCTCTGTCCTCGACAGTGCAAGGATCATGTCTCAGATTTTCATAGAAAGTGATACAAACAATGATATTTTTTAGTAATAAGGACTATTAGTAACACAATTTGATGTAACAATGAACAAATAATGCATGTCGTGACACAATCTACTTGCAAATAAAACAAATGTGCCCGTGGTGTCGCTACCGCACCCACCACAATGAGACAGGTCATAACCTGTCACTTGTGAAATGTACACATATTTTGCAGAACATACAGCGCTTTGGCCAAGAGTGTAGCTGAATATTCGGTATTCAGCAAAATCACTATTCATGGCATCACTAATAAAGATATAATAAAGTCAAACAATTGCCAAATTATATTAGGCTATATTACTACTATTATTATTAATTAAATGCTAAATAATTTGCCTAATGCCTAACACCTGCATCCAGTGACAAATTACTTAGCATTTAATTAATAATAGTAATAGTAATATCACCCGATAAAATCTGGTAATCATTTGGATTTAATATATAACTATCAGGTTTGAATGTGAACATAAAAAATTGCAATTGTCGAGAAGTGAGATGAATATTGCACAGATCATATAAATTGAAGGAAAACTTAATTTATTACTTTTAACATTGCAGAAAATTGGAAAATAATTTTTGTACAAATGTTCTTCTCTAATGTGGAGAGAACCCTTAAAAAACATACTTAGATTAATCTTTTATTGTAGGCTTCAATCTACATCTAAATATGTATAAAATGAAACTGTCCTCAACTAGCAGTGATAATTAAAAATTTCTTCACATTCTTAGAAAACACCTAAAATGTAGTTAGAACTTAGTAATGACTAATTTTATATAGTGTATTATTTTCTGCACGTTGTTTTGAGGACAGTGATTATTGTTAAGAGGTTAAAAGTACGATTTTTAGTAGCCAGAGATTGGAAGTGAACACTGTTTGGAGATTGTGTTGATATATTTTTGTTCAAACAGAAATGTTCCTGAAAAAACGGGTCATTTAGAAGTGGCTGTTAATGGAGGTTCAATGGTATAAGGTTTTTTTTTTATAAATTATGCAATGTAATTTATAACAGTACACAAAAATTACAATTAAATTTTAGCTGCAATTGTTGTTTATTGATTTAATTTATAACAGATTCTTAAATTTTCCAGAATATGTTTTAAAAGATTTCATGGTTTTCATTATTAAGTAGTATAATTTTAAATATATTTACCATCTTTCTTTAGCATTAAAAGAGCCTCTTCAAGAGATATCTCTTCTAACCAAAATATGAAATCATCAATAGGAATATTTTCACAAAAATCTAAAACAGTTCTTGCAAAAAGCATATCTTCCTTGTATTCAAGTTTTTCAACATAATTATTAAATTTTTCCCTGAAATGAGAATTAATCAATTAATGAGTAAATGATCATCATTATATATCCTAGCAATAAAAAATATTTAGTTATAGTTAATGTTTAGCATTTATATGTAACAAAAGTTATATGAAAATTACATCCTTTCTAAATTTTCTGGTTTTCAAAATAAAAGTAGATGATAGTAATTGTTATACATGACAGTAAGTACAACTTTGTTAGTCCAACACCCTCTGAAAAGTAGTTGATAATCTGAAATTATCCAATGATAATCCAATATATTATTATTCTGTGCACATGTAGGTTTTGTAAATCATATGTGAACTGAAAAATAATTATTAGGATATATGCAAATGAATAATTATATATGATTATTTTGTGCATATGTTTTTTGGAAATCATGATTAATATCTTTGTTAATTATTTCTGCCATATTTTAGATTTTCTTACTTTTTTTTTAGCAAAGTGACAACACTTTCAAAAGGGTAAACAAATTATGGAAATATAATACCATGTTAAGTTATTGCAGAATTTTAGATAAATTACTTCTTATCTCATTGATGGTGAGCATGTCAGGAAGGAGGCCAGAGCAAAATGGCAGTAATGAAAGTTTTTGGAGTCAGTAATTTTTTTGTGTGTGTTTTCTAGTATTGCTATTGCAAATCTGTTTTCTGATTAAACAAAAATAAAAGCTCAAAATGTGCAAGTTGGGAAAATTGTTTTTAAATCCATTACTCTTTTATGAAATCTATTTTTTTATTTTTTTAAAATGCTTTTTAACTTGATTGTATCTATCATTGTTATTCTGACAATTAGGGTGTTTTTCATAATCCACTTAGATCCTTTTGCTCTGATATGCTATGCTTAAGTATTTAGACCATAAGATCAAAATATTTAAGCATAGCAACACATAAAAGCATCCTTTCTGTTAGCCATTATATTTTTTTATTCCTTCTCACCTAGAATGAAAAAGCAAAATGTATGTATAATCATCTGTTTTCTTGACTGCTTTATAATTAATCATCCTGGCTAGGTTTTAAAGACTGAAAACAGGAAAGTCATAGTAATGTCTGTTTTGGTTAATCACTATGCTTAGCAATGAAAGTATCATGCAAAAATACAATGAATAACAAAACAGACTTATTAATGTCTATCTTGTTATCCATTCTGTTAAAATTTGGTAAGATGTGAATGCTGAATGAAGGATTTTCCACCCCCCCCAGAATTATTGTCTCCCTTATACAAGCAAATGAAACCATATTTGTACATGCAACCCTTTGCAAGATACACAAAGCCTACATAGTTGTATAGGATAAATAGTTAAATGTGATAGACTTAGCAAAGCACACAACGCAACACAAATCCTAGACGTAGGCCAATTTTGGGATGCTGTATCTCACCAAGGTCACACACAGAGATATGGTTCCTTTAATTTTTGATCCTATGGATACAGTCTATAGCTCTGATAAGGTCCCAACTGTCTCATTCAGAAGTGTAATTGTAATGTATTACATATGCTTTCTCTGTTTTTTCTTTAATTTGCTAATTAGTTTTATTTGACCTTTTTTTCTGTTAAATCCCCAAATAAAAACCCTTTTCCCAAGAGTCCATACTGGAGTGAACGGTGTTCCCGTAGATACCGAAATCGGTTAATGTGTACCTAGTTAGTCGAAGATGGCGGCGCTTTGGTTAGGTTCAAGGACTTTAAACTACAAGGATAGCCAGATCCCGTATATTTGTTAGCATGACCTTGGATCTATGTGACGTCACAGCAAGCCCTCTACTTCAACATGACAGATCTTTCAAATAACAAAATACAATAAAATATTAAATCATTTCTTAATTAATTATTAAATTACTACTAAATGTAAACTACTGTAGAATTTTCGGATTTAATAAGTGTACTGTACGTCAATAAATTTACAAGTCTTTTGTGTAATATTTATTTAACAAATTAATGAGCTATATTTTTTAATATGTGATTATCTTACTTAACTTTTTAATTTTTTTTCGACAATCACCATTTTCAGAAGGCATTCTTTTCAATATTTTATAGTTTTCTTGTTTAAGATTTCTATAATTAATTCTTATTATAGTTCTTAATTTACAAAAATCTTTTATTAAAGTAAAAGGTAAAACTGTTTCCACTGACTAATTCTGTACAACTCCGGGGCCTTTTTTATACGATTCATCGTGATATATT